CCGCGGGCGGCGGGTGGGGGCAGCCCGTGGCCGCGGAAAAAAGAAACACCATCGAACTTTGGAGGCCAAAAGCCAGAGAGACGAAGGGGAGCCCGAGAGAAAGAGGAGGTGAGGTGGGGGGGCCACGTTGCCCGGGACAGGGTCGGGCAGCGAGCGCGACCCGGAGAATGCTACCGGCGGTCGCCCCCTGTGCGCCATAGGCCTCGGCCAGGAGGTACCCAACCGATGGACCGGCCATGGCGCGGCTGTAGCCCTGGACAGGGGTCAGGAGGAAGGACTGACTTATTCTGCAGCTGGACTTGCCCCCGTCCAACGCGTCGCACGAATGAAATGCTTTTCTTGCTTCTTGGAGACTAGGGATCCCATGGATGCGGTGGGAGACGTCAGACGCCCGCGGTCCGGGAGCACCGTGCACCCGTCGTGATGACAGCCCCCGGTGGGTTCTCGTCCCCCCTCCGAGGAGTTTTGCGTTTCAGGGAGCGTGCGCCCTCCCTGCAGGCGACAGCGGGGTCGCACCGGGCGGCCTTTTGCAGAACCGCGGACAGAAAGTGTGTCGACGCGTCGGTGCGGGGGGCTTGAGCCGCCGCGCGCCGGTCGGAGGGGAGGGCGAGCGGGCGCCCTAGGACTCGCACCCAGAAAAAGTGTGTGTGGCACGTTTGGGGCGACCCGACCGGCACCGACCACGGTGCGTCCCCAGCGAGAGGGGCAGATGAGCCCTGCGATGCGCGGTGGCAACTCTCGCCGGATGGGCGCTCGGGATTCTGGGCCGGAACAGCTGGCGGAGGCCAGTGCACGGCGGACGGTAAACGTAGCCCTTAGCCGTTTCGTTTCCCGGGGAAGGAGTCCGCTCCGCAGCCGGTTCTCTGCGCAAACCGCAGCATCCTCTGCTGGTCCCGGCCTGGGAGCAGGCTGGGCCCGGGGGGCGCCTGGAAACTTCGCTTCCGGGAGGAGCCAGAGGGCAGAAAGCAGGTGGGGACGGTGGGAGACGAGCTGTGGAAATAAAAGGGCGAAGGACCCCCTTGTGGGGGCTGGTGGCCAAAGACTCCGGCTCGGGGAGCCCGGGCGCTCCGGGAGGTACGGGCCTGAGATGCCGCCGGGCGCGCGAGGCCCCGCCCCCGGGGCACTGACGGCCCCCGCCGCCAATGAGCGGCGAGGACAGCGTGGTTCCCGCTCGGGGCGGGACTTCCGGTCCCGGCGGGGCGGGAGGGGCAGGAGCTCCAGTGGAGGGAAGTGCTGGGCGCCAGGTTGCGGGGCGCACGTGGAGGTGAGGGCGGGGAGGCTCCGCTGTTCTCTCGCCCCTCGTACGTGTCCGGCCCCCCAGCTCCCGCTGGGACGGGATCTGGAGGGTCGGCGGGAGACCGAGCCGGTCGGCAGCCTGAACTTGGTCGCGGCGACTGGTCGGGGTTTGCCCTGAAGTTACCCCAAATGTCGGAACCCCAGTCCTTCCAGCGGTTCTCAACCTGTGGGTCGCGACCCCTTTGGTGGTCGAACGACCCTTTCACAGGGGTCGCCTAAGACCATCCTGCAGATTAGATATTTCCATGACGATTCATAACAGTAGCAACATGATAGCGATGAAGTAGCAACGAAAATAATTTTATGGTTGGGTCACCACATGAGGAACTGTATTTAAAGGGCCAGGAGGTTGAGAACCACTGCCGGGCGATTCCTACTGCAGCGACCGCCTCTCTCACGTTCAGAGGGGATTTCCGGCTGGAGCAGGAGGGGGACAGATTGCTTTGTTTATTTAAAATGGAGTCTTTTATAAAAGACCCTCCCCACCCCCCCATTCAACCAACAACCAACAAAAAAGACCACTGTGCGGGGTGTGTGTGTCCGTCCTTCCGTCCTGCACTCGGGGCGCACGCCACCGTCCTCTCCATCCGCCCGGCTTACCACCTCCTACCAGCAGCTGCATGAGCCCATGTTTTCTCCTGGTTGAGTCTCTCCATTTGTCGGGACCCTGGTTTTCTCCGCTCGGGGAGGTCAGCTTCGGGGAGCAGAGGAGCGCCTCTCTGTAAAGTGCGCGTCCTCGCGGGGTGCCCGGTTCTCTCTCCTGAGGACCCTCGGCCCTGGGGACCCCCCGCTGCCCCCTCTTCCGCTTTGCTCTGTGATTTCCATATTTGTGATGCCCTGGGTTCCCGATCCGAGTTGGTGTGTTTATGGCCGTTACCCTTAGCTGCTGGGGTAGGAAAGGACCACGGAGGCTTGGGGGTGATATGATGGACAGCAGGAAACTGGAGTTGCTAAGATCCCGAAATCCTGATTGCGAAACGGCAAGATTAAAATTTCCTTTTTAGCCTGTTCGTAATTATTTATTAATTGTTAAAATATTTTCCTCATTCTCCTATTGATAACAAGGCCCTTAGCCTCTATTATATTATGATTAGGGAATCAAATAGATATGCTTATGTTAAGCTTCTACCACGGAAGGCATTGCGAAGCTTCCATTGCCTTTGCTGTCTGCCTGTCGGACCTGCAGTCAAATAATGCAGGATGTTTGCATGTCACACAGACACACGGGGGGCATGTCCTTATTCCGAACAGTGTATTTCCAGGCATGGTTTGTTATTCAACAAGTAGAGGTAAACGGAAAGATACTCATTATACACGAAGAGTGCTTACCGACGGGTTAATTTTGTGGGAAAGAACTCATGTTTTATTCTCAGTTTCTAATAGCAACGTACAAGTTCGCTTCTTTTATGTTCTTTATAGTCTTTGGTGTTAAAATAGTGTGGTGGCCAGTGTTTCCATTCAGGGTAGTATGTGGGCAGGTGGAATATTCAGCGAGAACTGGCATTTCTATTTACTTAATGTTTCCGTGTAGACCTACAACAAAGTTTTAATAAAGTTTATACAGTCAGTGAGTATTTTGATCATTGATGGCATTTTGTTTTAGCTTCACTTTGTCACTCGATGACCTAGAGCAGTGATGGCGAACCTTTTGAGCTCGGCGTGTCAGCATTTTGAAAAATCCTAACTTAACTCTGGTGCCGTGTCACATATAGAAATTTTTTGATATTTGCAACCATAGTAAAACAAAGACTTATATTTTTGATATTTATTTTATATATTTAAATGCCATTTAACAAAGAAAAATCAACCAAAAAAATGAGTTCGCGTGTCATAGGTTCGCCATCACTGACCTAGAGAGTCTGAACCACCACGGATGATAAAGAGTTGTGTCTTATTAGCAGTTCTCCCACTGCTCTGAATCGTTCTCTTGGGAGTAGGGAGTTATGACATGCTATTTGATGGTTGGCAGGGAGTTTGGGCTGCCTGCAGAGTTGCCCCAAACCAGGCCACCAAGGGAGTGCTGTGCGTCCTGTGATCCGGGAGCCACCAGCCCCGGCCCTGGACACAGCCCCGGAAGGGAAAGGGCAGCTGTTTTGGGGGCCCCAGACCCGACCCTTGACTGCACGCGCCCAGGTGGTTTTCATGTGCAGGTCCGGGAGCGACTGGTCTGCAATGGGCCACACGGGGATGCCACTCGGCCTTTTAAAGGAAGATCTCTCATTGAAAACGATGGATTGATGGATAGAGTCTGTTCCTGCCGCTGCCACGATGTCTGGCCAGGAGTGCGCACGCAGCTTCGTGGTGGTTCAGGCCTGAGACTCCGCCTCTGCCTCGGCTCAGATGCCGCTGGGCACTTGCTCTTTAAATCATTACTGTAACTCAGTCAGAATCAAGTCGATACAGAAGTGCAGCTGTTTTATAAATAACACTGAGTAATAACAGAAGAGAAAATCCCGCTCGCAGTGGAAGAAACAGCGCATCTGAGTGTGCGTTTCTGTTCCATCCCAGCCCCGGGGTGCCCCCGCCGTGGGTGCTGCTCTCACCTTTGTGGCATCTGCAGTGTCTCTCAGCTGGGTGTGAAGGCTGCCACTTCCCATGCCCCGGGGGGTGCCGTCCCACCCCAGGGCTGCCTGCAGCTCTGGCTCCTGCCGGCGGCACCCGCTTCCCGTCCTGCCTACCTGGCCGCGTGGACGGCGTTCAGGAACGTCAGGATGAGTAACCGGTTCCTTTTTCCATGACCGTCTTCTTTCCACTGATAACAGGCGGCGGCCCTCAGCCCCTCCATCCGCCCTCCTGTCAGGAGTCCAGACAGGCCTTCGCCTGCCAGCCGGGCGCCCTGTGCCAGGAAGCTGCCCGGCTGCTTCCGATGCCAGCATTCATTTGCTCACCTTTCTCAGTGATGGGAGTTCTGCTGGTGACCATTCCTAGGCCCACCTTAACACGGAATGTTTTAAGACGAGGCACTCGGAAAAGAAGGTCTCCAAGGCCTGGGTCAAGTCCAGGCTCATCTCTATGTCTTTTCCCAGCCAAGCCCAGGTCTGAGTCTCAGGAGCTGAGCTCATCCCGGGGACTGGGTCTGAGAGGCGTGTCTGGCTTGGGAGGGGCGTGGCCGGTGGGAAGAGTGGCAGCCAGGCTGCAGATGGGCACGGTGTTGAGTGGGGACGCTGGGGCCCCTGCCTCCACCTGTGGTCCCTGATGCAGCTGTTGTGTTCGTGCGTGGGGTGGTCATCGCCCCACGGAGACGCGGAGGCCCATTTTCTCCCTGTGAGCGCTGACGGCACAGCGTCGGGTTCAAGCGAGTTTCACGTCAAGGTCGGCTTCTGTGAACTTGGGAGGCACGAGAGCCTGGACTCAGGACGTGGAGGCTTCCCGCAGCCGTGAGATGGATGCGGCCGTGATCCCACTCACTCTGTGTTCCTTGTTGCCCAGCTGGTCCTGGGATCCCCCAGGTCACAGGTTGAAGAAAGAAATTGGGGGGTTGGTAGTAGTTGAAAGTAAGGAAACAGTCTGCACGGAAATCTCGCTTTGTGCTTCTAGCCATAGTTTGGTTTTTGTGAATTGCAGGACGTGGGAGGCACCAGGCTGCGCCATGCTGCCCACCCGGGGCCTGACCCTGACCCTGACCCTGACCCGCCTTTCCAGGCCATTCCCTGTACTCCCCTCTGCTTACTCACCGCTGACCACTTTCCATTGCTCGATAAGTGCTCTTCCCTTTGTGGCTTCCCTGGCTCCTCTGCGTTTTAATGCCTGTTTTCTGCACCTCAGCTCTTGCCTCTCGAGGGAACCGTCTTCATCCTTGAAGGCTCGGTTGCACGGGGGGTGCACGGACGGCTCTTTGGCCCTGCAGGCCTCCAGCTCCATCGCCTCTGCCCACAGCTGTGCTCGTCTCAGCTTCCTTCCTGGAACATGAGCCTCTGGAGGGTGTGAATCACGCCCTGAGCCTCGCTGTGTTTCCTCACGGCCATTCTTGTCAGAACTGGCAGCCGGGGGTGGCCGTGCCTGCAGCCCAGTGACGGCATGGGCAGAAGGCCTGGCGCATGGTCACCGAGGCCGGAGGAGGGGTGACCAGGGGTCAGTGCAGGCGGTGAGGAGCAGGGCTGAGAAAGAATGTGTCACTCCTGAAGGGTTTTCAGCAGGAGCGGGTCTAACTTAGATTTCCACGTTAGATAGATGGTTCCGGCGAGAGCTTGGAGGAGGAATTCAGTGACCAAAGTCCGGAGGAGCAGCTGAGAGTTGGAATCATGAGGGTCTGGGATAGGCAGAGAGAGGATTGGGAGGTGGACTAACAGTTGGGACTTTTGTGGAGGTGAGGGTGTCGCCTGGGAACCCCCGGGGTGACTGGTGGCAATGCCACGCCCTGGGGAAGGGTGCAGAGGGGCTCTGAGGTGTTCAAGATGCCGGACCTCGTGGAGGGGGTGGTGGGTGGCCCTGGAGCCCCCCGTTCATAAAGCCTCAGCGTCAGGAGGCAGGTGTGCAGGAGGCAGGTGTGCAGGAGGCGGGCGTGCAGGAGGCGGGCGTGCAGGGAGGCGGGCGTGCAGGAGGCGGGCGTGCAGGAGGCGGGCGTGCAGGAGGCGGGCGTGCGCAGGAGGCGTGTGTGCAGGAGGCGGGTGTGCAGGAGGCAGGGGTGCAGGAGGCAGGTGTGTGCAGGAGGCAGGGGTGCAGGAGGCAGGGGTGCAGGAGGCGGGCGTGCGGGAGGCAGGGGTGCAGGAGGCGGGTGTGCAGGAGGCGGGTGTGCCAGCTGCAGACGCATGAGCATTGATTTACATAACTAAGGGACTGGCCATTGAACGGAATTCGAGCAAGAGAATCAGCAGAATTGCTCATTGATCGTAGGGCAAAAGGTGTATTTTGTGTGGAAATGAAAGCAGGTAAAGTATTTCCTCTGAAACATGCTCTTTCTAGTGGGGTTCCCGTTGCTGGCTGGTTTCTTTCAAGTAGGTACTGGATTAAGCAGTGACACCTGCGTGCACAGTTCTTAACCAGTAGCTGACAAAAGCCAGTCGCCGAAGCTGGTACGTCACCAGGGCACTGAAGGCTCGCTCCGGGGTCGCGGCATCCCGGGAGCAGCGGGACAGCGGCCTCCAGCCTGCATGCACAGCCAAAGCCCAGTGTTTCCGGTTGTTAAGGGTTAGGGAGCACGTGCCCCCCGGGCGCCCTTTAAAAAGCCCCTTGAAGATGTGCTGCAGCGAAAAGCCGGGCTGGGGAAGGGACGTGTTTGTGCAGAAGCAGCGGGACCGGCATTGAGACAGGCTCAGCGGAGAAGCAGGCCGCACAGGGGCCGACGCGCCTGGAAACAGCCAGAGGCCGGAATAACTCGGCAGGATGGGCGGTGGGATCACCCTGGCGTCCAGCTGCCGGCTCTGTGCCTTCAACCTATACCGGACGGGGTCAGCTATTCCTGAACAGAACGGGGTTCCGGGCTCCCCGGGCCGGAGGGCTGTCCCAGGGAAGAGGCTCCTGGTGGCCGAAGGGCTCCTGCAGGAAGTCGGGTTTGGGATGGGGCTGCTCTGACCTCCGCAGGATGTGGGCAGCTCTGAGCCGCACACACGTCCCTGTGGTCGTGAGACGCCTAGGCCCACGAAACCACAGCCGGGCCGGCGGCTTCATGGGCTGGGGTCCGCGGGTGCACACGCCGGCTTCTGCCTTTCCTAGAATCATCCCATCCCATTCCAGGAACCGCCCATTTCCTGGAAGAGGCGCAGTCACACGGCTTGGCATGTGTGTGCCTGTGTGTGAACACATACAAAGGGCTGGACTGGAGACTGATCCGCAGACTTCCGAAAACCCGAGCTCCAGGCTTGTCTCCTCGTGCAGTCCTGGGTGAGTGATATGCGTGCCTCTAAGTTGTCTCATCCGTAACCTGGAAATGACTCCCGCCCGCCCGCCTGCCCACCCGGGTGTTCTGAGAAGGTTCTGGAGAGACTTGAAGATGTGTGAAGCCCGTCGCTGGCGTTTTGCTGGAAGAGTTCATAGAAACATGGGATTTGGAAACCCTGGAAGTCAAGGCCGCGGGGGCACCTGCAGACCCCCCGCCCCCCTCTCTTGGGCTGTAGTTTAACGTTAAGCCTGCAGTTCTAACTGGTACTGACAATCCTGGGGACGCTGCTCACATTTCACTCATGAAAGTGATTGGTCAGGTTCCCCCGAAGCTCCCGATGGGACATGGTTGGCCCTTTGCTGGGGGAAGGCAGGCTCCCCTCGCCTCCCGGGGGGGAGCAGACGGCACCCAGCAGGAGTGACGGCGTCAGGGCCAGAGTTCATCGTTCGCATTGTTACTTAGCGCTCTGCCCCCTTTGGCCTAGGCCCCCCCGCCCCCCGATAATTATGACTGAAACAACTTCTGATAATTATGATCCTTTAGGAAGATATCCTCCTGGCATGTGGCTTTGCTCATTGAACCGAAGAGTCACAGTGAGAGCCCAGATGGAGTCGTTGCTGTAAGAGGACATCACGTTTTGTTTGAGAGAACAATTCTTCAGGTTTCTTACATACATTGCCGTTCGTGGAGTCATTTACTAAAAATAAAAGTGTGAATAAGTAACGGCTGTCACTCCCACGGTTTCCGTGTGGGCGTGTAGAGGGGAAGGTGTGTGAGGGGCCTCCGTGCCACCGCCACAGCGGACTGCGTTTCTCGTGGGAGAGAAGCGTGTTCTGCGTGGGCCAGGCTGCAGGGCAGGCACGTGACGGCACGGAGAGTCACCTTGCTGCCTAGTTTTCCCATGAACTTTAAACATGGTAGTTGCATGCTACGCGGATTCGATAAATCATTATGAATTGGAATCTTGGGCTTCGCAGCCTCTTTAACTAGTTCAGAGCACCACCCACCCAGAAGCCTTAGCTTTGCTTCTGGGTGAGGCCAGCGGCGGACGCGGTGTCGTTCTGAGCAGACCAAGCCTCGTGCCCCTGCAGTGCGGGTCCCACAGTAACCGATCCTGGACGGCTTGCAGGGTGCGCTCCTCCCCGGCCGTCCAGGGGGTCCGGCAGGGCTGGGTCCTGCGTGATCGCTGGGCTCGCACTGGGTGGTCACTATGGCAACTGCGCTGGAGCACCCGCCTCCCAGCTTGGAGCTGCTCCGGAGCCAGCATGCCAGCAAACCCTGCGTTTATGCAGCGTGACCTCCCTGTTCACTCATTTCAGAGGAAGTGGGCGCCGAGTGGACTTTGGAGACTGGAAGGGACGCTGGAGACCAGGCAGTCGGTACCTCGTTTGCTGTTTGGGGTGCTGGGGCTCAGAGCATTGTCAGTCGTTACAAGGAGAATTCTGGGTAAAAGCGGGTGAAGACTTGGATCCCCTGCTCATGTCCCACTGCTTCCCCCAAATTATTTGTCCGTGAGACTCTCCTCTGAAACATAACCTGCTGGGGCTGGATCCAGACTCAGCCTTCCCAACAGAAGAAATGTTATTGGAAAATTCCACGTGGAGGGTGGACTAACCCACAGGGTGAATTTACAGTCGATTTGAACACTAAGCGGCATAAAGCCAATCAGCCAGCCCTTTACCATGGCGTGCGAGGGTCAGTGCTTGAACGGAAGGAGGGGCCTCGTCACACTTCCTTACATGCTGAAAAGCAGTTGGTAGGACATTGAGTTTTGTTCTAATACAGAAAAAAACGGTGAAAATATAATTGTAAAGTGCCTTTGTATGTTTGACACTCGCAGACTAAGTACGGGCAGGTGTTCTTCAGGGTGACTCTGTGATGGGAATGAGAGTGAAGTAACGAAAAGGTGGGCAGGAGGGAAAGGCTAGCGCGCGTCAGTCAGCTCTGAGCTCTGGGCTGTGATGAACTGTTTGACTGACACTAACTCCCAGGGGAGTTAGAGCCGCGCGGGCTGATGGTCAGCTTTCAGCAGGAGGGTTCTCGGGCATGCGCCGCGATGGGCTCACCGTCCTGGGTTTTTCTCTGGTTGAAGTTTCATCACATATTACATACGTAGGTCTCTTTAGCCCCTGCTCCTCAGTGGACAAGTGTGTGTGTGTGTGTGTGTGTGTGTGTGTGTGTGTGGAGAGAGAGAGAGAGAGAGAGAGAGAGAGAGAGAGATTCGCTAGAGAATATGCCTGCTCCCTCATTACTGCCCAAGGTTATGGTCATGAATTAAGGCTTGAGGTTAGTGTTCTGGTTGGTGTTCTTGCTGCCCGGCCTGCCTGTGACTTTAAAGCTCCAATAAAATGGAACCCAATTGATAATCAAGTTACTCATCGTGCCTGTGAGGCACCTGGTGGGAAGCCTTGCTGATGCGGGTCGGACTGCGGTGCATTGCCGCACAGGAAGGCCTGGTGCCCAGCGCGGTGCCGGCTGCTGCAGGGCACGGGAGGGCACGCCCGGCGGCGGTGGCTACAGGGCTGCCCCCGGGAGCAGGGCATCTGTGCTGGCCCAGGGGAAGCACGGGGCCAGGGGAACTAGGATTTCTAAAGCGCAGAAACAGCCAGTTTGGCAAAAAGAGTAGGACATGAGGCTCTGAGTCACTCCCTGTCGCTGCCCAGTGGTCTGTGTGAAATGCAGCTCCGCCTGAGCAGCCGCCGCAGAGCTGGGCCAGCCTGAAACCCGAGCCGCTTCCTGGCTGGCTGTGGCCGCGAGCCTGGCGGCTCTGGACACTCCTCACGAGGCGACGGGCTCCCTGATGCCAGGCCCTTCGCTGTCACCCCTTCCTCCCGGGCCTGCCCACTTCAGAGACGGACTCGGTGCGTTTCTGTGGCGTGAACCGGGCCTGCGGTTCCAGGCCAAGGAATTTGGACTTGACCCTGGACCAGAGCACTGAAGGGCACCTTCCAGGGCTAGTTCCCGTGGAGCACTTCCTAGTAAGGCGCGTGGGAGACATACACTCTGCTCAGAGCCCGGAACCGGGAGCCCCTAGTTCAGCAAAGGCTGTAATAACGGGGACCCGGGGGCACTGGAGCATGCACTGCGCACCGAGCTGGCGTTTCCTGTGCGGACTGGTCACTGCAGCCACACGCCAGGCCCCGCTGCCGGCGCGGTCAGAGGTGCTGGCCAGGCTGTTTCCAAACCAGAAATAACTCCGCGGCCTCAGCGCCCCGAGCCCACACTCCTCCGGCTGGGGCATCCGTCATTGCGCGAGGCTGGAGGCTGGCTGCTGCGGGAGGTGCTGTCAGGGGCGGGGACTTGGCGGCTGTGTTCGCAGGGAGGATGGAGAGGGCTGCTGGGCCGTGTGGGCGCTCACTGCGGGGAGCAGGCTAGGGCCTCGCAGGCTGAGTGCACAGCCAGTGGGCGCTGGGGCCCCCTGGCCTTCCTCCCTTTCCCACTGAGGCGCTCAGCGGGGCTGCTGTGCATGCTGAACACCGGGGCCTGGAGGGCTGGGGCCAGGCAGGGAGATGGGAGGAGAAGCAACCACTGCTGGGCCCTGGCTGTGCGGTCGGTTGCTATGGTCCCAGGCACCGAAAGGGTGCCCGTTAGATGCCCAGTCCGGGCACATGCCTGGGTCGCAGGTTCCATCCCTGGTAAGGGGCTTGCAGGAGGCAGCCGGTCAATCTCTCTCTCTCTTTCTCTCTCTCTCCTCTCCTCTTCCTTATAATGGGCTTCATTTTCCAGTGAAATATGGCATCACATCCTTTCAGCCTGCAGTAAGCCATTTATTTTAGACCCATTCTTGTTCATTGACTAGTCAGGGGAGGTGATGTCTACTTTCCTACAAAGTTGAAAGGTTCATTACGCTTCTCAGTTTCTCTGATTGCTATTGGAAACGCTAGCTCTTACTTCCTCCCTCCTCCCTGATGACTTGGCAGAAATACAAATCCAGTCGCAGATGAGACATGCAGGCTTTGGGGATGACCTCGTCGGAGCAGCGAGAGAGTGAGTGAGGAGGCCAGGAGAGACCTCAGGGAGGGTGGGGGTCCAGGACGAGCCAGGCCACTTCCATCTTACTTCTGGTCGGACCCTGTGTGACCTGTTTCACACGCGTCCCTCCGGAGTGGAGTCGAGTTCTTCTGCATCCCATTCCTAGCTTCCGACTCACGGGAGGCGAGCACTGTGTCCGTTTACAGGGGCTTTGTCTGTCGTTGCCAAACTGGAGCCCATGGCAGTGAACTTCAGGCAGAGGGTGGGCGACAAGCGGGGCGTCCACACAGCTCAGCCCACCCGTGTCTCCTCGTGGTCACTCGGTTTGCCAGTTGGGCAGGAACATCCGAGGATTTTCTTCCTGCTGCATCGTATGTAGAGGCACCTGGTGTCTCTCTAACTTGGTCTGTGGCTCGGGAGCGCTGCCAAGTTCTCTGCTTTAAGATCACCTTCTCCCTTGGGAGCTGGTGAGGAGTGTGTGTGTGTGGGGGGGGGGGGAGGAGATGGGGTGGGAGACTGTACATAGCTTTCTCCACTAGTCTGCCCTCCACCATGGTTCTTGCCGTGAAGACTGGCAAATAGTGACTTTTTAAACCCGCCCCTCCTTCTTTATAGGGGGCCTTATCTTGGAAGGAGCCGCGTCCCCCTCGTCCACCGTGTGCTGGTGCAGATCTGGGCCTCACGGGCTGTGTGAGGCGATGGCTTACGGTGACTCTAGGACTGTCCCAGAGGTGGCGGCGCCCCTGCAGCTGGCGTGTCCCTGGAGCAGGTCCGCACTGCCCTTGACACACGCTTGCACGTCGGGGGCTCGGGTGCACCCCCAGCCCCGGCCGCTCAGCAGTCACTTTCCACGGAGCCCTGGCTCCTGGGAGGGAGAACCTGGGAGGGAGAAGGGCGCTTGGAAGCCACGAAGGGCGCTTGGAAGCCACGCTCGGGCGCTCATTAGCTTCCTGCTTTTCACTGGAAACGCTGAGCTCCCGCCCCATGGTTATCTCCCGGGGACTGACTCACAAGGACTCGGAAACGTGTGAATGAACTACTGATGCCCCGCCTCTGCCAGTGGCCTTTGTCCTGTGGATGACGGAAACCTGGGTGACTCAGTGGTTGAATAGACCCGAGTGAGGCCAGAGCAGTCCTGCCCAGGGGGAGTTTGGGCCAAGAAACACACTGGGCTCTGGATGTGAGGACTTAGACTCTGCCAAGTCCCAGTCACCCTGAATTTCCATGGCGCCCTTCTCAGCGTCGAGGTGTCGGACGCACATAGAGTTATAAGCTGGCGACTTCCTTTCGGGCGAGAACAGTGTTGCTGTTCTCCTGCGGCCCAGGCTCTGCACTGTGATTTGTAAGTTGTGGCTGTTTTGATCAATGAAATGGAACTTATTAGTATTTCCTCATAGACTGCGTAGATGTTACTTATAACTGGAGGTTTGGAAGGGCACCTTCATTTAAAGAAAAGGAATCGACTTCGTAACTTTGAGCTTCAACTCTTTAGAGTTCTGAAAACTCAAGGAAAGAAAAACTTCTCCAGTTGTTCATCCAAAATCTCGCTTCAGACTGGCTTGTGCATAGCGTCCAGTTTAAGATTTCACAGTGTGTCGAGGATCGGTTGTAGAGAAACTAGATAGCAGGATGGAATCGTCAATGTATATGTGAAAGCAGGAAGTATTTTGAAATGAATGGAATTTATACATACCCTTGGTTAGTCAAATCGCAGTTACTCTAAGCTTAGTTAGAAGTTGAATTTAAAAGATTGTAAGCTTTATGTCTTTATTATTAATTTTTGTTGTATACGGAGGGAGATATTTTCCTTTAGCTAAGCATTCTTTAATATTAACTATAATTTTAAAATGTTTCCTATCTAGTGACTAGTTTTATAGTCAGCCCCCTCGGCCCCCAACACACACAGTCCTGTGAGGACTGGCCTTTCAGTTGAGGCCTGACCGCCACCGTAGGCCTTGTCGTTGGACATATAGGACCTGGGTGGTCGATGATAGAATATGACGCCGGGGGGCGTGTCGGGGACGGGCATGTCAGGCATGAGCGCGATCGCAGGATCTTCCTGAATTTTCTTCCCGTCGTGGAGAGGGGCCCATCAGGCCTGAGGGAGGAGAGAGAAGCTCACCTTGTCGTCCAGGGTCTGCTGAGCACGTGACGGGGACGGTGACGCTTGGTGGTGGGTAGACAGAACTTGTGCTGAGCAACTGGCAGATGTGAGGGTGTGGCTATCGTAATGGGTTCCTTTTTGAAAACAATATATTTTATTGATCTCAGAGAGGAAGGGAGAGAGAGACAGAAACATCAATGATGAGAGAGAATCATGGATCAGTTGCCTCCTGCACACCCCACACTGGGGATCAAGCCCATGACCTGGGCATGTGTCCTGACCCGGAATGGAACCGTGGCGTCCTTGTTCACAGGTTGATGCTTGACCATTGAGCCACACCGGCCGGGCTTAATGGCTCCTTTTGCAGCGTTCGGTCGGCCTCTGATGTTGCTGATGAGCACGGTGAGTGGTGATGTCCGCACTGACATCTCGTCTTTGCCTTCGCAGAGCTCTGACGGTCCTCTTCCTTCGGACGATGGATGAGCAGTCGCAAGGCCTGCAGGGGCCGCCTGTCCCCCAGTTCCAGCCCCAGGTAAGGGCCTCACGACGAGCACCCCTCTGTCCTTAAGACGCGCACTGACAGTTCTTGAGGAACTGAAGCGGCCCGTCGCTACCGAGGAATGGCCAGGTGCTGTCGGAATTGTGTGCGTTTTCCTGGCCGTCGAATACTTAGTTCTCAGGGACAAACATGGAGGAAGGTCTCAGCGTAGGCTTTTACGGTCTCCCTGCCTCGGCGGCTTCGTCACTGTGCGCCTCCATCTGCTCCGGCCCCTGAGACCTGCCCAGCCTTCAGAGAGCACCTCACCCGCGTCTGTCCGAGGAGAGCACCCCTTCCCACTGTGACCTCTCTCCTTGGACCCTGACGGCACCTTCTCTGTGTCTCTCCTGGCGTTGCCGGCGCCTGCGTGTCGGGGCCTGTGGGCGTGTTCCCGTCCCTCCTGTTGGGTGGAGAAGGGTCCTCGTTCCCCCGACCTCGCGTGGAGCAGGGGCTGCGTGGACGGGCCGGGAGCTGGCGAGGAAGGCCTGGCTGCGCTGGTGGGGGCGCGAATGATGATGACGCGATACAGACACCAGCGCCGTCTAAGTGTGTCGCTGGATAACTGCTTCTCCTTGGTCCCTCCTTGTTCCTAGGCGGCAGTGGCCTTCCTCTGTGTTGGATGAAAAGCCGCTGGTCATGGTTAATGGTGCCCTGTCCTCACTGGGCTGGATCTCCAGCACTTTGTGTCTAGGAACAGGTTACTTTTCAAATATTCCGGGAGATTTCAGGGAGATAACTTTCCAGTGGGAAGAAGCGTGATTAGGTGACGGTGTTAGCACACGCGGCGCTGGTGTGTGCAGGTGTGCACTGCTGCTTTTTCGGTTCGCAGTGAGGTTTGTAGAAAGTACATGGCAGAGCTGGGCCAGATGTGGTCACAGCACATTCTAACTGGAGGTGAGTCGTATCTCTTACAAGATCATAGAATGAGTTTTATTGGCATAAAATGGAAGGGCATTTTGTTACTTTTAAATTCTGTTAACATTCAACAACATTAATGTCACATAGAAAGCAGTGTGTTAGTTTGCGTAACCGGTCATATGAAAACCACCCGTAAGAGACGACGGCAGTAACAACGAAAACCTTATTAATGATGCTAAACACAATGAGCGCTGGCTGGTGTCTTCGATCATTGATAACAGTCCCTCTGGGACTTCCCGGGACATGAGGTTCTCCCTGGGGAGCCCGCGGAGTCCACGCTGCGACTCGTTTAATTTCCCCAGAGAGCCATCATCATCCTGTTACCCTGAATTACCCATTGCTCAGTGAACGTCTTCGCTTCCAATTGTGAGCAAATTAATTAATTGAGTCCTAGCGATCAGCAGTTGTTCCGAGAGGCTGCGCCTGGGAGGCAGCCGGGGTGCGGCGGAGTGGGTTTTATTTGAGAGAGAAGAGCACGCTGTGCAGGAGGCGGCGAGCAGACCGCCAGGTACCAGTTGATCCCACTGAGTTGGCAGACCTGGTGTCGTGTGATTCGCTCGGAGAACGTGTCCTTCCCTCGGAGGGGCTGGTTGCTGATTGTCCTGCGCAATTTTGAATAGTTGTCTCGTGTCTGAGATTTCAGGATGCTTTTCCAATACGACCTGTTCGTATGTGGATGCAGATCTCTTGAGATTAAACATAATTTACCCCCAAAATGGAACAGAAATGCTCCCCAAATCAGTTCCAGTTATACCCTTGAGGTTGGGAGTTGTAGGGGTCTCAGGTCCTCAAGAAATAAAATCACATGAAAAACAACGTATCGGCCGCGTGGTCCCTGCGCATTGGTTATGGTTTGAGACTTCCTCCCAAAGGAACCGTTTGAAAGTCACCATGTGGGGATGGTCTCTGTGCAGAGTTAGGAGACGCTGGGCCGGACCAGCCCTGGCTCAGGGGCAGGCGTGTCCGACCCCGGCGGCCTGGGCGTGGGGCCAGGTGTCCTCTCGTTCGCCTGGATCTTAACTCCTCAGCCCGTTCCAGCCAGGCGCCCACGTGCCATCCACGTGGCTTCATGTGGGATGCTCGCCCCTCCCCCGTGAGCATGAGAGGCTTTGGTGGAATAACCGCGGTTAATGCCCCGCGTTGGCTCCCAGCTGCCGACCAGGCGGCGTCTTCATCCCTGAGTCAGGAGCTGGTCCGCAGGGAAGCGGGGTCTCCCGCTGGAGGCGGAGCCCCGGCCGGTGATCCACAGGCCTCCTGGTCCGTGGGCTGTTGGCATAGGGAGACGGGGAACAGGTGGAGGCAGACCCTTCGGGGCCCAGAGGGAGGGCCCGCGGGAAGGTGGAGGTGGCAGCTAAGCACTGTGATCTTGAAGCCAGAGGACCCGGAGGAGTCGTGTACAGCACGAGGGCCGGGGGGAGGGTGTCCCCGTGGGCGCCGTGGGGAGGGCACAGCCGTAACGGGTGCTGAGCCTGGCTCCGGCCTGGGCGCTTGCATGCACCACCCACTTGACAGCCCTGGGAGCCTCCTGCTCACAGAAGTGGGGAGCAGCTCCGAGGGTCCTGGGCGTCAGATTTGGGCTCCGATCCCCCCATTCCAGAGCCCGGCCGTGTCTGGGGCGGTGGGGACTCCATGGAGCTGTTTTATTCCCAGGATAACTCTGTGCTACACCACACAGTGGAGGACTGGACATCATGCAAAGGAGAGACCATGGCTTTTCTAAAAATAACTCTTCCTCACGTGGCCTCCCCGGCGACACCAGCTTTTGTTTGAGGACGGACAGCGCTGCCTGCAGTGGGCAAGCCCGCCCAGCGACGTGGGCGCTGGGGACGGTCGGGGTTCACGACCGGGGTGCGGGGTCACCTGGAGGAGCCTCCTGACCAGCCTGTGTTATGCAGACTGCAGGGCGGTGGGACTGTGCCAGCCCCGTCTGCGCTGGAGACAGGACGGGGCGGGGAGAGGGCTGTCACTCAGCCCCACTGCCCTTTGAAGAGGGGCCGAGGGGGAGGCGCCGCCAATGGGCTGTGAAGTTGACCCGCGGCCCCTGCCCAGCAGATGACGTGTAATGAAGTGTCTAATGCGCAGGCCGCTCAGCCTGATCCTGGGTGGCAGCCCGTCCCTCAGCTGCCAAGCTCGCCCCCTCCGGCCTCGCTGCCACCCGGCCGGCCGCCCCGGCTTAATAAGCCCAGACAGTGTGCGATCTGACATGCAAATGTAGGTCATTGCATATGTAAATGCGTGATTACAGGCCTGCATGCCAGAGCACATTAGTGAGCCGGCCCAGCGGCGGCTGTCACGGTACCTCGGCGGGTCACGCTCATGCCTGTCAGTCACTAGCGTGGGGCGGTGCTGCCGGTGACGCTGCACCTGCTGGCGGCCAGGTTGGCCCGGAGGCCGCGGGCCTGTCCCCACGGAAGAGGCAGGAGCCCTAGTTCTCAGACGCTGTAGGCTCCTTAGAGACCCACGCATCCTGAGAAAGGCACAGGCGGTGACGAAGCCCCTCCTCTTGAAGTAATACTTTCCTTTAAAGTTGAGAAACTGAACAGGCTGCCCATGGCCTTGGCTCGTTGGGGAAGCGGCGCTCTGTGGGTTTGCTCCGTTCCACGGGCACCGCTCTGTCCCAGGGACGTGGTGCGGATTCCAGCTTCCTCGTACGGTGGTGCGTGTGCTCAGCTCGTTTCTAACACGCGTGTCTGCCCAGCTCTGTTCTCATCGGACTGGGGATGGACACTCTGTAACTGTGGATTCTCTCGGGGGGTCCGCAGGGCTGGGCCACGGTGCGGGCTTTGCTCAGCCGTGGGAGGCGCAGAGACTGGCGTGGGAGGCAGGACACAGGCGGGCTTGTGACGCCGACCTGGCAGGAGTGTCAGGGAGCGACGTAGGTGCCCGTCTGTGCGGCTCCCTCCTGCCCCCTGTCGGAGGGCACGGCCTGGCGGAGCGGGCGCCGGGCTGCGGAGTGAATGGTGTCTCAGCTCACACAGGCCACCCGCTGGTGTGACAGCAGCCAGGGGTGTGCGCATCGTGTGGCTGACACCTCTCTGATCTTTCCTTGCAGAAGGCCTTGCGGCCGGATATGGGCTACAACACACTGGCCAACTTTCGGATAGAGAAGAAGATCGGCCGCGGGCAGTTCAGTGAGGTGTACAGGGCGGCCTGCCTGCTGGACGGCGTCCCGGTGGCTCTGAAGAAGGTGCAGGTGAGCTGGCTCCCGTCCTGTCCGGCGCGGATGGCCCCGCGGGGTGTGGCTTGGGCCCCGCTGCCGTGTCCCTCACACGAAGGCATTCCCTCCGTTACCCGCGGACGGGCTGTGGGCTCGATGCCGCAGACAGTGTCTCACTGATACTTGCCCCTCACGAGAGTTGACACCTCCCGGGGCCGGGAGGGCGGGCATCGGACTCACGGAGAAAAGGGAGTCACTCTTCTGCGCACGGACGGCACCGTGTCCTTTTCCGTGACTTGAATGAAGTGGGAGGGGCCTGCGCCACCCGTGTGTCTCTCCTTGTAAGCCGTTACCTAGGATACGAGCCGATGCGTATTTTCCAAGTCTTAGTAACACGCGTGTTAGTACCGGCTGCCCGTGGAGGGAAAATGGAGGCTCCAGTGCTAACGTCAAGTGAAATACCTACAGATCCGACAGCCCTACAGGCTGATCGGAAAGACTCATGCTCAGTGTGTGTACAGTTTATGTATAAAAACCATAAGGCGTGGATGTGGCAGGTAGCTTGGACCTAGGTTATTCATGTGTGTAACTCTGGACTCTGCTTTTAGATATTCGACTTAATGGACGCCAAAGCCCGTGCCGACTGCATCAAAGAAATAGACCTGCTCAAGGTACGTCACCGACCGCCAGCTGCATGTTCTCCACCCGTGGGGTTACGTCCACGTTGGGAAATGAGTCTGTTTTGAAGGAGGCCCTGTGGCCAAGATAAGGCAGCCTCGGGCCGGGCTCCGGCCTCCCGGCTGGGGGAGCCCCACGCCGGCAGCCCCCGCTTTCTCCATCCACCTCAGAGCTCTTAGAGGCACCCAGTGGGGCCGACTCAGCCGCCTGTGGGGAGCACAGCTGCCCATGCCAATAAGTAACTTACTAAATGTTCCACTCACAAGCAAAAGGATCGGCAGGGCAACCGAGGCCACTCTCATTTCAAAGAATATATACGTTTGAATCTCAGTGTATTGAAGAGTCTAGTTACCTTTGGGAATCGTGAAATAGTGTAACTGGAACATTGGGTAGGATTTGCTTTCCCCCCCTCATTTCAAACTAGGAAGTAGTTAAAGGCAGTGTTTAAATACAATATAACAAATGACAGTTGTTGAAATTCTTTAATTTTTTGTTTGTTTTGTCTTTTAACCACTGGACGTAGCTATGCTAGGGTCAGCCCGAACCTCAAAAGAGGAGTGAAAAGGAGAAGGTGACACCGTTGAGCGCCCTGCAATGGCGGAGCTCAGTTTGAAGGGAATGATTGTTAGCAGCTGATGGCTCTGTCATGTCATTCACTTGTAGGCATGGATAGATCGTTGGACAGAATATACTTTTTAAAACTTTAAGTGCCTGGTATTCTCTATTATTTCTAATAAAGAAGATTAAAGTAAAATTAATTTATACCCAGCTTTACTTTCAATTATTACACTTGCTTTAAAATTCACAAGATTAAAGAAAAATACACTGTCATGTGAAGTTTCTGTAACTTAAAGATGAAACGCAGTAGCTAAGTGCATTCTTAAGCTATGATACTATTGGGTATTTTCAAGAAGAAACCTTTTTCTTACCTGTTTTTTCTCCGCAGCAACTCAACCATCCGAACGTGATTAAATATTATGCGTCATTCATTGAAGATAACGAACTCAACATAGTTTTGGAGTTAGCCGATGCTGGTGACCTATCCAGGATGATAAAGGTAAGGCTGGTTCTTACTGCTCGGTTGTCCGTTGGAGACACAGGTATGTCAGGTGCTTTGCACTGACCTGGCACCTGTGGAACGCACGGCATGCCCCGCGGTCGTGGCTGTGATTGGAGCTGGCTCACCCGGCGAAGGTCACGCCGGGACTTGGTGTGTGAACGCTCCGAGGCCCACCTGCAGGGAACGGACGCAGAGCCTTGTCGCAGGGACTGGAGCTGGAGCCTGCGGCCGGGTTCCTCCGAGGGCCTCCACGTCCCTGGTCCCTGCCCTCAGCCGCGGGGGCAGAGAGAGGCTGTCAAGCAGCCCGACCTTTCCGGGCGACTCATCGGAGAGGAGTGTGGGTTCTGTGTTCAGACCCTGCACATCAAACCCGACTTGGCCACTTAGCAGTGACTTCACTTTCTTTTAAACGGGCGTATTACTAGGGTCAAAGTTCAGCTACAAGCCATAGAAACCCCCAGATCACAGTAGATTGGTGTTTGTCAAGAGCTTAGCACAGGGCCTCACACACAGAAAGCACGTGTTGCCTAAGCGCGGCCACTGCTATGTGATCATGGTTACGTGTGATTCTTTGTTCCATAAAACCCTGGGGCTGGTGTGGCAGCTCTGAGCTCGGCGATTCCCAGAGCCCAGGCCTGTCTCCAGCTGACGTCACCCTCCAGCCTAAGTAAGGGTCAGGGCGCCTGCTGCTCCTTTCAGCTCCGTCCTGCTGGCCCGAGTCCAGGTGTGAACGCTCTAGCTGCAAGGGAGGCTGGGATGTCTGTCTGCGTGTGGCTGGCCGCGTGCTCGGTGGAAAATCAATGAGAACCAACCAGATGAGAAAAGGAGGCTATTTATTCTGAGCTGCTGACAGCAGGAGTCAGTGCCACGGAGGGCACGGCAGAGGTCACGGGGGCGGCAGTGGGAGCCTTTCCGGAGGGCGGCGGGCGGCCAGGTCCAGGCCGTCGGAGGAGCTGATGGAAGCCGGCGCCTCATGTGATGGGCCTTTCCCTGGTTGGCCCTGAGGTGGGAGCAGGGACAGACACTGGAAATGCTGCTGGTTGGTAATGAGGCGCCGACTGTGGCCGAGGCTGTGCAGCCGCCTGGATGGCCCGGGCGGTGGCCCTGGTCCCTGCAGGTCTGCCCCAGCGGCTGCTCCCTGGGTGTTTGCTGGAGAGAGAGGTGGGTTCCTGGTCGGGCTGCGGAAGGCTCAGCCTGTTTTTCCCTGTGGTCTGGCCGTGGTCTGGGTGAATGTCCGTGTCGGCGGATCCGGGGCCCGGCAGGGATCCACCCAGGGGCCCCAGGGAGGAGGGTCAAAGGCAGCGCCCGTATGTGGATGTCAGCGCGCCCCAGCCTCTCGGGGGCTGGCCCTTCGGGAAGAGGAGTCTCAGCTCTGCCTCTGACGGGTCTGGCGGATGCACAGCCTCGTGTTCCCTTGACTGGGGCTCGGAGGCCGTGCTCCAGGACCCTCTGGAAGTCGGGGGACAGCCTGCGGTTTGCATTCCATGCCAGAGCCGCCCAGGGCCCCGGGCGAGGTGTGGGCAGACCTGGCGTAGCTGAGGCCAGCGCGGCCCTCCCGGCTCGGCACCCTCTCGGGGGTCAGTGCCCCGTCCGCGAGGGGCAGACGGTCTGAGCTGCTCGGAACCCCGACAGCCTGCAGGAAGGAAGGTGAAGCTCCCGCTATCAGGATGCCATCGCGCTGACTTGGCCCGAGGCCCGAGGTGAGTGACTCACCCGGGTGCTTATCTGATTTTCGGTTTCAGGGACTTCCCGCCCCAGCACAAGCAGCTGCCCTGGCCGGCTAACCAGCAGCAGCAATGCGGACGCACGGGCGCAGGACTGTACACAGCAGCCGTCTGTGTGAGACGCGAAGAGAGACAGGACTGACGTGCCATCTGTGCGCCAGCCTTGGCACAGGGCCGATCCCGGGGGGGGTGGGGGCGCCAGGGCATCCTTGATGGGCAAACACCTGCTGACGGCCCGAAGGACAGACTGTCCCGCGGGGGACCTGCCGGCGGGCGAGGGGGTTTGACCGTCGCTGAGTTTCTTTGCTCAGTTTCTTCGGGCTCCGGCGCGTGGACCCCGGCCCTGGACGGGCCCTGGACGGGCCTGCTCGTCCTGCTCCGGCGTCCGTGCCAACATCTTGGCCACACGCGCTGGAGTGTTGGTCTGTTTCGTTCCGTTCCCACTCACGTCCTTTCCCAGGGAGACCTTTCCACCCAGACAGTCTTCTGCTCCTGCTCTTGGAACTGGCTCCTTTCACGGCACTCAGCGACGCGGCCTTAGCATCGCGGCCTTAGCGTCGCAGCCGCTGGTGCACTGGTCGCCTTTCCGTGGAGACTGTTCCATTGAGGCCCAGTTTCCCGCGGGGCGTGGGGCTCACCGAGTGCAGGGCAGGGTCGCTTGCTCACCAGGTCGTGTGGGCCGTGCCTGGCTGGTGGCGGGTGTGCGTGCAGGTCGCCTGTTTGACGCCTGTCAGCGCTTCTCCAGGGCCCGGGCTGGGCACGTGGCCGTGGGACATGGCAGGTTCCGCTGACTCAGGCTCTGCCCCCACGGGCGCTGGCGGAGAGGACGGGCGCCGAGAGCTTCCGCGGCTTCTTCTCGTTCCCGAGAGCTTCCCCGAGTGTTTCTGACCCTCGTCGGGGCCGTGAGCTGGTCTCCATGGAAGAGGCAGGGTGACGGTGACAGTGTTTTATGGGGCCGCGCGGAGGCTGGAGCGTGAGGGACGCGGTCACGCTGCAGTAGGGAGAGTTGTAAATCACGTGCATCGCGGAATGGCCGTGTCTCAGGCTCAGCCTAATGGGGGGAAGAGGAAATATCGCTCCCGGTCTGATTCCAGAGCGAACCCGGGCGGCCTCGCATCAAAGACCCTGCGATGAATAATTAACGGCGGAGCGGCCGACAGGTGGCATTCGCGTGTGTAGCGGAGACGCTCCATGTTCCTCTAATGAGGCCGCGGACGCCCGAGGCTGTGGTCAGATGCAGCTTCAGGATGAGGTTCAGGATGAAAGGAAGCCCGGCTTTCTCATCGCCCGTTTCTCTGTCACCGGCGATCACAGCTTTAAAGGCAGGTGGACTCGTGCGGCGGATCCCAGCTCAGCCAGTGGTGTGTGCTGGGAACTCCCCGGTGTGTGCGCTGGGCTGGACCGACCCGTGTTCCAGGGGCCACATGCCCGTCACTCACTCCTCAGTGTCACACCCGCACCCGGTGGAGGGCCTCACACGGAGGCGATGGGCCCAGCTCAGAGCTGGACCGGCCGGAGCTCGTGTGGGCCCAGCCGGGGCCGCCCATGGCAGCTGCTCGGAGAGTAGCGCCCCCTGCGGCGCCCTCTGTGCCCTGTGAGATGCCATCACCTGAGGCCGCTGCTCTCCTGGCCGCGGGGGCTCAGCCAGGGGAGGGGCTTTACCCCGGGCGTGGGGGTTGGGGGTGCGGGCGGAGACTTCTGTTACCACAGACTCTGAAAAATTAGCTAAAGTGCCAACAGCGTTTGGAGAGAATGATGACCCGCAAACATCATAACTTACGACTCCTGCTCGCCTTCTCCTGGTCTGGAAGGAAATCGTGTGTAGAGGAGACGTTGCAGCCTGGCCTCAGAGTGAAAACATGTTGACAACAGTCCCCGACTAAAAACATGATACGGAGGTTTTGAACTTCTTAGTAATGCCCTGACTAGCTGTTTAATCGCCTGGTCATGTAATTGTGATGCGTTTTTAGCTACTGATTTAATAGCCATTGAAGTTGCTGATAAGTTCATTGCCACAGTGTGTGTTACAGTAACGCTTAACCTCAGGTTACGAGCTACAGATACTGTTACACAGCAAACCACGTGCAGTTTTGTTTGTGGATGGGTGTATTTCTCGTGTGTTCCTCCAGCAAGTGTCACGTGGGAGAACGGACAGGCACCTGGACCTGTGGTTTGCAGTTCATTTCATGGGTGCCCCCCCCCCCAGTCCCGATTGGTGCTCAGCATTGGCCCCGCCTTCCATCCTTTTTTTCACTGAGTTTAGTTTCATTCATTCCAAGGGAACTGCAAGTCTGACGTGTGATGTGCAATAGAAATATTTATGGGAACTTTCAGCCCCACCCCTTTAATGTTTAATGGTCGAGGTCGGATTTCAATCACAAGGTGCTTCAACGTTTATTTAAAAGGCTCTGCAGTGAGACCTCTGTCACACGAGAATTTCTCTTAACGAACAGCCTCACCTTTGGTTTCTCGACTCTTTTATTCTGGCTTTTCCTCAAGTGGAACCTAATGACTTCCTTTGAGGAGGAGAATCAGTTTGTGCAGAAGCTATTGTTTGAATAGGTGGACAGGGCCAGGGCAGGGGCCGGCTGTGCTGGCATAGCTGTGTGTGTGTGGGGTGGGGGGGGGGGGGTGTCGCTGAGCCGCGATGTCGGGTAAAACCCTGGAACACACCCTCCCCCCCCCTCCCACGGGCGGCCCCGGCTTTGCGTGGGCCTGAGGGAGGGGAACAGTCAGAGTCCGGCCGGAGGACTGGAACTCATCCTTCTCCCCTCCTCCCTCAGCACTTTAAGAAGCAGAAGCGGCTGATCCCGGAGAGGACGGTGTGGAAGTACTTCGTGCAGCTGTGCAGCGCCCTGGAGCACATGCATTCCCGCCGCGTCATGCACCGAGGTAGGCGCCCCGGACCCCGGACGCCCGTCCATTCAGGAGCCAGTGCTTCCGGCCCAGCACAGGGGCTGCTCCCACAGGAGCCTGCCTGCCGGTCACCGTTCCCCTGGGACCAGGCGCCCTTAAGGGAGGCCCGACCGGGGATAGTTCTTCTCTGCGGCTCTTCTGAGCATCGTGCGGATTCGGGGGGTGAAGGAAGCAAGGCGGGTGCAGGGGAGCGCATAAAGGGGGGGCCTCCCTCCGATGCGCCGAGTCTGTGAGGCTGCTTAGGGTTCACAGGTGCAGCACTGGCTCTCAGCGTCTTGGCTGGGAGTCCGATGGGTGGAACGGGAAGCTTCCATCACTAAAGAATCGGCCCCTTGGTTTGGGGGCGTGAGAAATGTCAGTGATACGCATCTGAGCTAAGGTTTCTAGGACTCTACGTCAGTTATATGCACAGAGCGTTGTGATTTTATATTTTACGTAAATATGTCAGCAAATAGAGATTTTATTTAAAATTGACGTGAAAGGGACGCATTTATTTATGCTTTGTATTTCACAAGGGTTTACTTGAAAAGGGGGAAAATGTGTTTTAAATGAAAATTATTCGTGACCTGAATCATGCTGCCTTCATTATTATTTGTCTCAGAGGACTGAGGACACAGAAATAGAAGGATATATAAAAGCTACTCAAAATAAAGCAGTTGGTTCACAATTCAAACAGACTGACTCTTTAGGATGCACTTTACCAGGAAATGTGACTTTTGATCCTTGAAAGCAGCTACGCTGGCCTCACCTCTCCCAACGCCTGCATTTGTCCGCAGATATCAAACCGGCCAACGTGTTCATCACGGCCACGGGCGTGGTCAAGCTCGGGGACCTGGGCCTCGGCCGCTTCTTCAGCTCCAAGACCACGGCGGCGCACTCCTTAGGTGAGCGGCCAGGGAGGTCCGTCCAGGGGCAGCCCCTCCCGGGGGGCGGGGGGGGGGACTCGCCAGGCTGCCGCCCACACACAGCTCCTCCTTCTAATCAGACTGGTGACAGCTCCGCGGGTCCTGGGTGGACCCCCACACCCTGTACTCTCGCGGCTCTTGGTGAAGGAGTCAGTGAGCAGACTCCGTCTAGCTGTCGCCATGGAACCTTCCTTTTATTTACGTTATTCTCCCTGACAGAGAATATGTGTTGTTCCTTAACCTTCGTGAAATGAAGAGTGTGATGGCCTGTGAGTGACCTAACAGCGTAATGCGTGTGGACGTGTTGTCCGAACACCAGCGTGTGCGTGCAGATGTGCGGCCGCTGTGTCGCGTGACGGTCGTGGTGGCACCAGGCATGCGGCCTGACAAGACCGCCCTTGTCTTCCTGGGTCGCACTCTTGCTGGGACGTTTCACGTTTATTTTTCTTTTTTTTTTTATATATTTTATTGATTTTTTACAGAGTGGAAGGGAGAGAGATAGAGAGTTAGAAACATTGATGAGAGAGAAACATCGATCAGCTGCCTCCTGCACATCTCCCACTGGGGATGTGCCCGCAACCCAGGTACATGCCCTTGACCGGAATCGAACCTGGGACCCTTCAGTCCGCAGGCCGATGCTCTATCCACTGAGCCAAACCGGTTTCGGCAACGTTTATTTTTCTTGTCTGATCGCTGTGGCTGCGACTCCTAATGCTCTCAGGAGGGAGGCGAAGGGGCATCCTTGTCTCGGCTCTGATCTTAGAGGAAGAGCTGTCAGCTTCTCACTGCGGAGGGTGCTAGGAGCTGCGGGCCTGTCGGGTATGATGGCCTCTGTGATGTTGAGGCGCGTTTCCTTTATACCCACTTTGTTGAGAGTTTTTGCCAGAAATTGGCGTTGAGTTTTGTCAAATGTTTGGGTTTTTTTTTGGCATCTATTAAAGTGCTTCTATGGATTTTAATCTCGTGTTTTGTTGATGTGGTGTGTTAAGTTGTGGATATTAAAACATCCTTACAGCCAAAACCGGTTTGGCTCAGTGGATAGAGCGTCGGCCTGCAGACTGAAGGGTCCCAGGTTCGATTCCGGTCAAGGGCATGTACCTGGGTTGCGGGCACATCCCCACTTGGAGATGTGCAGGAGGCAGCTGATCGATGTCTCTCTCTCATCAATGTTTCTAACTCTCTCTCTCTCTCCCTTCCTCTCTGTAAAAAATCAATAAAATGTATTAAAAAAATAAATAAATAAAACATCCTTACAGCCCTGGAATAAATCCCACTTGGTCATGATTATGATTTTTAGGTGTATTTCCGAGTTTATTAGCTGATACTTTGTTGAAGATTTTTGCATCTGTTTTTCAGGAATTGGAGCCTATATGTGTGCCTGTATTTTCCTGTCTTTGTCTGGTTTTGGTGTCAGGGTAATGCTGGCCTCATAGAACGAGTTTGGAAGCATTCATTTATCTGTCATTTTTGGGAATAATTTGAAGGACACTTAATTCTTATTTAAATGTTTGGTAGAATTCACGTGTGAAGCGATCTGGACTTGATGTCTTGTTTGTTGGGAGTTTTTATTTTTATTTTATTACTGATTTAATTTCATTATGAGTCTCCTCAGAATTTCTTCATGAGTTCATCTTGGGAGATTGTGCGTATCGAGGAGTTTATTCATTTCTCTTAGATCGTCCTTATGTTGGCGTATAATCGTTCATGGTAACCTCTTATGACCCTTTGTGCTTCTGTGGTACCAGGTGTGAGTTCTCCTGTTTCATTTCTGACTTTCTTTATTTTGGCCTTCTCTCTCTCTCTCTCTCTCTCTCTCTCTCTCTCTCTCTCGGCAAGTCTGGCTAAAGGTTTATCAATCTTGCTTTTCTTTTCAAAGAACCAGCTCTTACTTCCATTGACATTTTCCTGTGCTTTGGTCTCTAATCTGTTTCCTCTCTGATCTTCACACTTTTCTTTCTTCTACTAACTTTGGGCCTTTCCTGGCTCCCCTGGATGTAGGCTGGGTGCTCGTTGGAGAGTTTTCTGTGTCCTGAGGTAAGGCCTGCATCGCGATGTGCTTCCTCTTGGAACTGCTCTGCTTTGGACCGAAGGTTGAATGCTGCGCTCTCATTGGTCTCAGGCATATTCTGGTTTCCTCTTCATTCTCTGCTCAGCTCCCCGTGTTTGCGTGTCTCCCGTTTTCTTGTCGTTGGTCTCGTTGTATGCCCTGGTGGTCGGGACAGCTGCTGCCTCTGACGCCTGCCTTTAGATTCACCGCGAGTGGCTCTGCCCTCCAGGAGGGGTCCTGGGGTGTCCCGTGTGACTTGGAAGGCACGTGCGCTCGATGCTGCGGAGGGTGTGTCGCACGTCGGTTCTGTCCATCGGCCTGTTGTGTTGTTGGGCCATTGTCTCCCATGGATCTTCTGTCCGGACGTCTGTCCACTGGGAAGCGGCTCTGAAAGTCCTGCTGTCCCTTCCCCCTGTCGTGTTTGCTTTGTAGACGTTGGGGCCTTCTGTGCTGGGCGCACAGATACCTACAGATGTCAAGCCCCCTGTGGCAGTAGCTCCTGTATTGCCTGTGCTGTACTGTTATTTTTTAAGGGAGAAAATAATACAGATTCTGTAAACAAGTCCTTCTCTGTCGTCACTGTTAGTTTATTATGAGTTCTCGTGTATTAAGTGAAAATGTGTATTTCATTCTCAGGGCTTTCTTAGTACCAGTCCTGCTTCTGAGTGGCTCCCTCCCCTCCGTGGACTGGAATAGGAAGGAGATGAGAGGTGATTCTAACGAAACTTACTTAGATACCCAACCTGCTATAAGTCCGCCGTAGGGGCGCGTGAGTCACTGGAGACAGACGGCCCCGCCCGCCCTGCCTGTTCTGGTCCAGCTGTCCCAAGAAGGCCCAGCTGCCATGCGTTTAGGGAAAGGGTCTGGGAAGGACTACATGTCCATTCAGTTTGACGTGTGGGAATGTATTTCGATTTCCTGAGCGTTGAGGCTTCTCGGCCTCTGCCAGGCGGCGAGAGGGAAGGACGGACCCGGGTTGGAGAGGAGGCCCAGCTCCGCGCTCCCACGAGAGCCCCGGCCGCACGCAGGCGCACTCGGTACAGAGAGAGGGCGAGTGGGACCCCCCGGCCTGTGGCCAGCAGTTCACTTTGAATTCAGTCAGTGACTGTGACCTTCCTCCGCCCCCTTCTCAGAGGGGACTGGACATGTGTCCATCAGGAGGTGAGTAGCCCACGTGGATTTACATGTGAACACATATCTGAGATGTGTGTCACTTAAATGTTAAGATAAAGCATGAATATTTTGTTAAATACGTTGAATACATGCTTACCTCTCATGTTGACGGTTGTTGTGTGGCATGATCAGAAACGGCCATAGGGAAGAGAAAGAGGCGTTAGCACGTCAACAAACCAAACCAACGTCACCGGGAGCCCCCAGTGTCCACAAGTCTCCGTGGCGACCAGCAGTTCTCAGGCCCTGGCCTCACAGGCGTGGCCCAGCCCCCCGACGTCCCAGCGCCCTCGCCGTCGTTCAGAGCGGGCGGGAAGGGGTGCTGAGGGCTCCCAGGGGGCGGTGTGGAGGGCGCAGGCCGCAGCGTGTTCTCGGGTGTTTCTGTGAGAGCTGATGAGTCCGACTGACTGCTGTTCGCGGGTCTGGGAGGAGAGAGGGGTTGGAAAGTTTCGCGTTTTCTCAGAAACAGTTTTGTGACTGCAGTGAGTGGTCTCTGACGCTTTAATCCAGAACTTTGAGTGTACTCTCTCTCCAGGCCGCCCTCACCTGCCTCCCCTCCTTCTCACTGGCTGTGTTTTGCAGTGGGCACCCCTTACTACATGTCTCCCGAGAGAATACACGAAAACGGCTACAACTTCAAGTCGGACATCTGGTCCCTGGGCTGCCTGCTGTACGAGGTAGGTCCTGTCTGTGAACGCGTGTGTCCGGGTCTTCCTCGCTGCCCTGCGTTCCCCCATCCTTACAGGAGGCGCTGATGTTATCCTGGGTGGTGAGTAAGAATTAATGGTGAATTACGAGTCCATGGGCGTGGTAACTGCTTTTATAACGGAACTTAGTGACTGCACATTCCTGCACATTCACTTTCTTTAATATATTTTTAGATTACTTTCCTTTGATGAGAATTTAACTTTTTAATTTTTTTTGTGTTGATATGATGTTTTCAGCATCTCATTTATAAAAATACATTTGAACATCCGTGACAAAACTGGCTTATCCGTGCATTGCAGCAGAGGGGTAATGGAATGGATTTAACATATGAAAGCAACAGGAAAGATCTTTACCACCGTTACTTTTCCCTTTCATGTGGGGTAATTGGGCTTAAGGATAGCAAGCAAACAGGTCATTCTCTTGATTGCATTTCCACGAGAAACAATTTGTATTGGTCCGCTCGGTGCAGTGCTCTCTGCCGGGCGACCGCTGACCATTCCCCACGGGGACACAGTGTAGACTGACCCTCCCGCACACACTGCGGGCGGCACCCACACGGGGAGGGGGCGTAGTGTGACCCCACATGCCTCTCACCGAGCGAGGGCACCAAAGAGGGGCTTCAGCTAGGACTGAAGAGGCATCTCCGAGGATTAAAGGCTCCGTGCCAGTGCTGTCATTTCAGAACTAGCCCACATCTAACTCTTGTAATAAAGTAAAATGAGGGGTGATTCACCGAGTCCCCTTCCCGTGTCAGTGTCACCAAGGAAGCCTGAGTGGGCGCGTGGGGGCCTGAGGGGGCGCGTGGGGGCCTGAGTGGGCGCATGGAGGCCAGTGCGTCCCTTACGCCCTGTGTGTCTCTTGGCCTCTTAAATGACTGCACACGGTGAGGCCTCCGGTTCATTGCCCACCTCTGCTCGGAAGTGGGGCTTCGAGGGTTATTTTTAACGTGAATCCTGATCGTGGATCCTTGTTTTACTGATTGCGGGTTCACGTCCCCATTTTAACGAGGTTATTTATTTTGGGATCACTTACTTTCTCTCCCTACTGAGTGACTAGTGATTACTTAGAAAGAAAGGGTTTTTAAACGTTCTTAACTATGTCCCTCGGATAATGTGTATCATGAAAAATGATGAGTTAGTGATGTAGCAGTTATTTTATGTGTGCATGTGATAGTGCTTTATCCTGGGTGATATTTTGTTAAAATCTGGCACAGTGTCAAAAAGAGCTGATTTGATTACGTGACTAACGTTGAAAGGTCACTATCTCGCGGATGCGTTTAATACCCGCTTAGATCTCAGATTCCTCCCGGCAGCGTCTGATGTGATCACAGCAACACCTTCCTTTCAAACCCGAGAATGAGCAGCAGAGTGAGTCCCCGATGAGATTCAGTGAAAAAGAGGAAGTTCGGGGGAAGTTTGCAGCTTCTTTAGGGCCACAGGCCCTCCGGTCAGGACTGGGCCGTCCTCCGCACCTGGGCCTGGCCGGGGGGTTGTGGGGGCGGTGTCCCCTCTGTGTCCCGAAGGGCCACGCCCTAATGGCTTTGGGGGCCAGTCCTCCGCCCACTGGCTTCCAGGCTGTGGGTGATAGTGAACTGAAGTGTGTGTCCTTGGACATTAGCTTCCATTCAGTGCGCTTTGCCCAGTTCCTGCGAGCAGGTCGTTCGGGGGAACGGGGATTTTTCTAGAGATTTACTCCACGTTCATGTTGTATCTGCTCCCAGTTAGGGTTTAATAGCGCGTTACTGGAGCCTTTAAAACTGGCCGTCCGATGACACCGGCCTTTCACCTGGTGTCCCACTAAGAATGCGCCATGAAGGAGCCGGAGCCTTTGCCGCAAATGCATTTGAAACTCAGAAAATTGGACTTTCAGATACTCCCGAGACCTCAAAAAAAAAATAAATAAATAACCCCGCACACCTCGCAGCAGCGTTTTAATTGATATGCAACAAAGTAGACTTTGCTAATTAAAACCAAGATGCCGCCTCGGCTACAGGGACCTTTACACGGAAAAGGAGGTTTTACACGGCTCTTTATTGTTCAGCTCAGCGGCGGCCTCCGCGCCGGGTTGGAGGTTGGTGGCTTACGGTTCAAAAAAAGAGAGAGCTGCCAGCGGCCCGCAGACAGACAGCGGCCCGGTCCCCGCGACGCCCCCGGAATACTGATCAGGGGCGCCGGGCCCCGGAGGTCAGGGAGCGCGTCAATCAGCCCGCGGCCGGCTCCGCGCGGAGCATCAAATTAGCCTGAAAAATTCAGCTGCCGGGAGGCGAGGGCGCGCAGCTGTCAGGCCCGCGCCGGGCGGCACTAATGAAGCAGATGAATAGTGCAGGAGCTGGAAAATAAAAACAGGACAGTTGACATTTTTCATCTGTCAGAGCAGGAGACGCGTGAGAACACACCGTCCCTGTTAACCCCCGAGGGCCCGCGGCTCCGTCCTGCGCGGAGCCCCTGGCGCAGGCGTGCGGCCCGTCCCGTGGACGGAGCGGTTCGCATACCCAGCCCCGTCCGCAATGGCCTATTTTATCAGAAAGTGTCCTTGCGTTTATTTAAAATATATTCTTTTTGATGTCAGAGAGGAAGGGAGAGGGAGAGAGAGAGAGACATCCATGATGAGAGAGAACCATGGATCGCCTGCCTCCTGCATGCCCCCCACTGGGGATTGAGCCCGCACTCCGGGCATGTGCCCTGACCGGGAATCGAACCGGGGACCCTTCAGTCTGCAGGCCAACGCTCTATCCACTGAGCCACACCAGCCGGGGCTTTCCTTGCATTCTGAACACAAAAACACGTGATTCTGATTGGAGCCCCTCTTTTAGAAACCTCCTCCCATGGGGTGTTCTCCGTGATCGGGGACATTGAGATCCCCCACTTTCCTCTCCCCGGGAGCTGTTCGAGGTGTTTGTGCAGGACCCTGGGATGGTACGTAAGATGCAGGCTGGGCCTCCTGGCCGCCCTCCTGCCCGAGGCACCGAAGGGGTTAAAGCCGGGCCCCGCAGACATGAGAGCGTTTGGCGCGGTGTCCCCCGACGCTCCTGAGTGCACAGCACGGACAAGCGAGTCTCACACGCACCGCCTGTCGGGGGTGCACGCCTTGTCCTCCGCGCTCGCGATTAGCGCGTGGAAAGGGGTGACTGGCTCGGGCAGCCCCGCGCCCGCGTCCTCGCTGCTGCGCCTCCCGCGCCACGAGGCTGAACGGGACGCGAACATTCGAAACGGAGATTGAGTTTGTAACCTGCTTTCCGCGTCCTCACTGCACTCTAAGTGCCAGCCCAGAGCCCTGGCTGGGAATCAGTTTGAATTCAATCATGTCTTTTAAAAGTTGTTCATTCCTTGAGTTGGTTTTGTTTGTTTTTTTGCATTAAAAATGTCACTTGGATGCTTGAACGTGGTGCCTGTGAGTCATCGAGCTTTTGAACATAGTCAGTGGTTTTCTGAGATGCTTCCAAAGGGAAAACAGCTCCAGGTCACTGCAGATTGAGGGTCGGGTGGGGGCTCGGGTGGGGACCCTCTTCCACAGAAACGATGATGCGAGAGCAGTGCCCACATCCTCCTCCCTGAGCCGCTGCTGGTGACAGTTCAGCGTTAGCTCAGCTTTGTGTTTGTCATATTCGGCCGTTACCTGTTCCATCTAGAGCAGCGGTTCTCAACCTGTGGGTCGCGACCCCTTTGGCGGTCGAACGAGCCTTTCACAGGGGTCGCCTAAGGCCATCCTGCATATCAGATATTTACATGATGATTCATCACAGTAGCAACATGACAGTTATGAAGTAGCAACGAAAATAATTTTATGGTTGGGTCACCACATGAGGAACTGTATTGAAAGGGCCAGAAGGTTGAGAACCACTGATATAGATCATCGGGGTCTGTTTAGTCATGGAGTAATACTAGCTGCTTTGATGGCCACTAGTTACAACGAATTTCAGTTTACTTTATGTCCTTTTTCTTGTTGCGTTTTACGTGTATATACGTAAATATATGATAACCATTTCTCCCTTTTAGGGGATTTAAATGTGGAAAACAAACAACCAAACATTGAAGTAGGATTTCTAGAGGTTCCCAGAGAATGGCCAGGAAGGGGTGCCCATGAGAACCAGAGGCCTCACTGTGAGGGTCTGTCCCCGTGTCTAACCCGGGTGGCGCCGGGTGGGTCCCGGGCAGTGGCCTCTGACGACCTGGGTGTCCTGGCTTTTGCAGATGGCCGCCCTGCAGAGCCCCTTCTATGGCGACAAGATGAACCTGTACTCGCTGTGCAAGAAGATCGAGCAGTGCGACTACCCGCCGCTGCCTTCCGACCACTACTCGGAGGAGGTGAGTGCTCCGCCGCGCGGCCGTCCGTCCGTCCGTCCGTCCGTCCACCCGCCCGCCCGCCCGCATTCGCGCTGCCCCAGGGACGCGCCCTTCCCCAAACACACGGCTGCCTGTGCAGGCGGCAGAGGCGGCCCTCCTCACCGTTACAGTCCCCGGAGACTCCTGTTTTAAGTTGACCCTGCGATTCGTGGATGGAGTGGGGTAGACACGGCCACTTGGGCTGCGCCGGGACCCCCCTGGGGCAGTCAGAGCTCAGCCCAGCTCAGGCCCAGGCTGCTGGTCCCGTGTCCGTGTGTCCACATGTCCCCAGGCCCCTCTTCAGAGGCAGCTCCGCCCTCCTTCACCCTCAGAACTACAGGCAACCAGAGCTTTCTTTTTGGGCACAGCCCCCCCCCGTCGTGTCTCCCCAAAAAAAAAAGGGGTCTTTCGGCCACGTGTCCCTCACCCTCATGCTTTTGCCCCCCCCCCCCCCCCCCCCCAGCACCTGCCCTGTCCCGCCTCTGGCCACACGCAGGTTCCCACGGGCGGGTCTCGGGCTCCCGCTGCGGCCCTGTGAGGAGTGGATGGGGCTGCAGGGACCTGGTGGAAGCTCTGCCTGCGTGAGCCTGGAGGCTGAGCCTCGCTGCTCGGGGAACCCGCTGAAAGGAATTGCCTGGGCTCCATCAGCATCTCCCGTTTTAGCTGAACACTCGATGATTGTAGTGATTCCCTCATGGTTGTAGCGATCCCCTCATGACGGTAGCAACCCCGGCGTGATGTCACCTGTGAGGGAGACACGCGGAGCAGGCCTCAGTCCGCTTGCCTGTGGCCTGTTCACGTCTCCGGGAGCCGGTGGAGGCCCCGGGGAGGACGATGAGGGCATCTGTGTGCCCGGGAGAAGGGGAAGGAGCGAAGGAGCAGCGTGAAGCCGCTGCGCTGCTCGCTGGTGGGTGGTGCCAGCTTTCTGTTCGCACGCAGAGCCCCGGTTCCGTTTCTGTTTCTGTCTCTGCGGGACCTGCAGCCGCGGGGCTGGGACAGTGAACCCTAAAGGGCTTCTGCCGTCTGAGCATCCGGGCCTCCGGGTAGCGCCTCTTGTGGGCGTGGATGGGGGTCGTCGGCCGCCTGCTTGTGTCCGCAGCCTTTGCATCAGGTCATTAGAGCGAACACGGCGCGGGCAGCGAGCTAATCAGAGTGTTATGTTTGCTGGACGGTGTGCGGCCTGCGAGCCGTTCCTAATGGCTGTTGGGCTGGAATATCATCAACGCGGCTTTGCACAGAGCGCTCGGCGGCCACGAGCACAGCGCCGGGCTCGGCATGTCAGGGCCGACCCTTTGTTGTGTCACTCAGGCCGCTTCCCTCCGCGAGGCATGAATATTTCACGCGCCCGCACCTCCGCGCTCCTCCTGCACTAATTTCCGCGCCGCATTTGCATTTCACATGCGGCTGATGAGGGGATGCGGGCGCAGCGGGCGGTTGCCATGGTGACCTCAGCAGGATTTTAATGATGGGGCCGCATGGTGGAAGCGCCTGCCTGCGGGGCCACTTCTGGCCGCCGAGTGGGAGGTCGGGCAGATGTCAGAGTCCGCGGAGCCTGCCCCATGGAAGGCCCCGGGTCGGAGGGACCGCCTCCCCCTCCCTCCACGGTGGTCCCGGCCCCGTGGCCTCCCACGGGCAGCACCTTCCTCCCGTGGCCCAGGAGGTCCTGTGCCTGGTGAGCAGGAGGCTGTGCTGTCCAGGTCCACACGCAGCCAGGTCCTTCCAGAGAAACGAGACGTGGAAGGTGCGACTGACAATGACCCGGATCCGGGCAGCTTCGCAGAGACGTCCCGGGACGGGAGTGCTGGGGGCAGATGTGCCGATGGGCCTCCCTCCTGGTGGGCAGCCCACGCTGCCTGTGGAACCCTCACTCCCGTTCCTGCCGGGAAGCCCAGCAGGTCCCGGCTGCTGCTCAGGGCACCGTCATGGCTCTGCATGCAGAGCGGGGCTTTCGGTCGGTTCAAGTCCAAGTCGGTGTCACTTCCGTGTGGCAGCATGTAGGACACGGTGGAAAATGACGTGTCAGGTTTGTAAACTGGCTTTTCATCCAGACCAGCCAGGAGGTGTCAGCTTATGGCTAAACGGTAACGGGCTCTGTAGCTCCCCAACGCCCCCCCCCACACCCCCACCCAACTCGGTCTCCGTGTCTTTATGGGCACCGTTACCTCTTTCTGAAACACCTTTCCTGGTCCTGACCAGGCCAGCGGGCTCTCTTTAAAACCAAACCTGGGCGTGTCTCCTGCAGGAGGTTGTCCTGCCTGCCCCCGTCCGCCCCTGCCCGCCGGCCCCTCCTCCTGGGCTCCCCCTCCAGCCCACTGGCCCTGCCCCTGGAGGTCACTGCTCACCATCGGCTGCAGCCGCCCGTCGGCCTGCAGGGCCTGGGCACTGAGGCTCAGGGGAGACTGAGGAAAGGGGAGAGAGAGAGTAAGTTGACCACAGAGAAAAGATAGGATTTCTGGTGCTGTCTGCTCTGTCGCAGGAGCACAAATGGGCATCTTTAGCCCCTCTCAGAGGTAGAGCTTGATGGCTGTGAAGAGATTCTAGCAATTTGGTGATTTCACAAGCGCTAATGTACTGACCAGAAAGAGTTAATGCAAGTTTTTGAAAAATCTAAATGATTCCTAAAGACATACGTATAAGGCAGAGAATCTGGTGCTGGTTGTGGAAAAGGCCTCTTGTTGAAGTTAAATGTGTGGGGGCGACATTGGTTGGGAAGCTGTTTGGTGTCAGTGTGCGACTCCATGACGCGCCATCTGCATGTGCACTGTGCCCCCCCCAGCCGGTCTCCGTCCGTCCGTCACCCGGTAGTTGACTCCCTCTACCCTCTCCTGCCCCCCACGCTTCCCTCTGTCACCAGCATGCTGTTGTCTGTGTCTGTGAGTGTTTGCTTGTTTTTCTTCTTTGTTCATTTGTAGTTTTCGGTAGTTTTCCCACCTGTGAGTGAAACCAGACGCTTCTTGACTCTCTGTCCGACCTCTCGCTGGGCGTGATGTCCTCCAGGCCCACCGTGTGGTCGCAAGGGCAGCACCTTGCGTGGGAAGCGCCCTTTGCTTGCCACTGACGCTCACCAGTGAGCGGCGTCCTGGCCCCTCCACCGGGTGGGGATGACGTCCACGCAGTCGCGTGTGTCTCGGTCAGATGAACACGTGGCCAGAACACCCGCTTCCTCCCCTGCGTCCGGCTGCTCAGGCCCCGTCCGTCCGTCCGTCCATCTCGGTGCGTGGCCCCCGGGTTCTGAGTGTCCTGCCTTCTGTCCCCGCAGCTCCGGCAGCTGGTGAACATGTGCATCAACCCCGACCCCGAGAAGCGGCCGGACATCGCCTACGTGTATGATGTGGCCAAGCGGATGCACGCGTGCACCGCGAGCAGCTGAGCCGGGCGTGGACCGCCCAGCGCCCCGGAGCCTCTCCTGCAGCTCAGACCCCGGCGTCGGTCTGGGGGCGAGACGACTCCTCAGAGCTCGGCGCTTGGAACCCTTCCCCGTTTTCAGATCAGCTTCCTTGTCCCCATGTCAGTCGCCTTCCTGCAAACCCAGTGACGTGGGAGTAATCGGATTGCACGTTGGGAGCGTGAGCGGCACAGGATGGTTCTCGGGCTGAAGATGGGAGACTCAGCGAGGTTTCTCCTGACGACTCGTGTGGGGACCGACTCTCAGTGCCAAACGCGGGCGCCGCGGGCCCTCGTCCGGGGAGACGCCGCCGGAGCGGGCGCCTGGGGCCACGGGCCTCCCAGCTGCGGACACAACATGAGACCACTGTGGACTCTGGTGGTCGTTTTCTCTTTCAAGGTTGGACTATGTGCTTTAGTTCTTAGCATTGTAGCTGTTGCAATGTAATTCTTAAGAGAGATGTCACTATTGGAGAAACATTGAGACTTCTTCACATTCAAAATGCAGCTCTGAAATGTGAAACCATTTGGGGACAGGATGTGAGTCAGACACTGAAGAGTTTCCCGCCTTGTTTTGTCTTGTTTTCCCACCTTTGACGTCCTCTCCGCATTAAAACGTATTCATGACCCCGTTTAAAAGTGGTTAAGGCTGGCGTGGCTGTGGCTGGCGTGGCGGTGACCGTGGAGGGTGCGCGTTCCCGAGGCTTTCTCTGTGTTTCTATTACCGTTTGTACATGTGAAAATAGCCTTTGAATCATCTTGCAGTGCCGTCTTTCAGTTTCCTTACAAACCTGAGGGCTTAACCCACGGCTGTGCCCTAGCGTGTAAGCATATGCTTTTATTCATGGATTTTGTGGGCGCTTCATCGGTCCCCTTCAGAAAACCTTTTGTATTCTCCAGGCTCCTTCCTTATTTATGTCCTACGTGCATCTTACCCGGGACTGTCTCGGATCCTGACCACCTTGTGCCCTGAGAAGGCTGTGGTGGATGGAGGCCATGTTTCCTACCCTCGCCCAGCGCGCCGTCTGCACGTGGGTGTCGGTGGTCGGAGGGGAGGAAGGGAGGGAGGTGTGCGGGTCCGTGCGGGCGACGAGGCGTGACTCAGCATGTGTGTAAAGAGGTGAGAGCCGGCGGGGGATGGATCTGGGGAGGCGGACGTTTATTTCTGTTGCGAAGCTCTGAGCACGTGCTGTATCCACACGTGGGGAAGGCGAGGGCGGCGCTTCGTGGAGGGCAAGGAAGTGGACGGTCTCGTGGAGGCTGTGCGGGCACGTCTGTTCTCCGCGTGCCCCGTGCGAGTGGTGACCAGAGCGGCCGTCACCGCCAAGGGACAACACAGTGCCACCCTGTGACCTTGCTGTGACCTTGGGATCCGACATCTTGCCTGCACCCGTCTTGAGGGAGAACAGCGCCCTCTAGCGGATAGAATCCACCGCCGGCCCTGTGTCTTCATGTAAGTATCTCTTACAGCCACTGGGATACATTCAAGTCGTGTGTTCACTTTAAACGTGCAGAGGGCGCTCAGGGGTACACCCTGCCTCTCCCCGGGGTGCCCAGCCCCGGACCTTCATCAGTGAGTCTTCATCGGTGACGGCACCTGGGAACGAGGGGGTTGATCTTGGGGGAGGCAAACGGGTCTGGGGGGCCATGTGTGCGGGCTGGTGCGTGTTTTCCCAGGTCCCAGCGCCTGACTGACAACTGACACTCGCCCTGAGCGCCCACAGACTCGTCTCCCCGAGACGGGGAGGGTGGGTTTTGTCGCCCAGGGACGTGGTGTTCATTTGAACATGATGGGGTTGGTGAGATGAGGTGTTCCTCGCTGAGAACCGACACCCTCCTTTTTTCTTGCAATCTCCAAAAATCCCCAGATCTAAAACCCATTGGCTGCACCCCTCACGGTGCTTAAAACTCATAAGCGAAGGAGTGAGCTTCTCTTTCCAGCGACTCCGTCTGCCGGGAGGAAATCGGGGTTGGGGGGGGAATCGAACGGTCAGGGGAATTCGTGGTCATTTTCTACACGAGGAAACTTGCCGTCACATCCATCTTTCTCCTGAAGAGGCCACCGGGTGAAAAACCAAGTTTGACTTTGATGGGGGTCATTGCGAAGCATCGCGAAGGCGGTCAGGAGTTTAAAGTTTTACAATCGCACGTCAAATGTTGTTCTTTATATACTTCTGTTTCTAGGCGAGTTTCGTATTGATTAAGCAAAGCATTTGACTTGATTCGAGGGGCAGTAAAATGAAAGGTGCATCTGATTCTAAGCCTGATGGAGACACCAGTACCCTGGTGACGTGGGTGACGCCGGTGCGTACGCCGAGGGCTGGGGTGGTGGCCGGGGGTGTCCCTGTGTAAATAAAGCGCTCACTCCCGCGTGCGATGAGTGTAATTTACTGATGCCACAGCGCTGCCCGCGTGTGCCCGCCCTCCCCGGCTCCCATTACAAAACCCCGTCCCTGTGTCGATGTACTCCAGCTGTCGCTGTTCACATTTACATGATATTTATTTTAGCCAAAATGTTACTCACGTGAAATGTTTTTCCCTTTACAATGAATGTATTATGTGTATAACCCGCAAGCGCATAATCCCCCCGTGCCTCGTATTCCCATAGTTCTGTCC